AAATGGAGAGTACTACAAAAAACTGATGTTCTAGGAAGAAAAATAGACAATAAAGAGTTTTTGGAGCACCAAGGAACAATAAAATACTATATTATTGTATACAAATACTAACTTAGCAATGACTTGTTAATAAGGTTTTAATGAGAAGTCTAAACAAAAATATAATCAGAGAGGATGTAAACTAGAAAACACAGTAACAATGCTGCCATTCATCAATATAGAAATATCAACAAGAGTAAAAAGACTTTTCAAAGTCTTTACCAGATACACCATATCATTTAGAGCAGCAGAATATGCCTCACTATCTCTATTTAATGATAACTTCAAATCTCTCTGTAACAACAGTTAACAGGTCAGATCCAAAACCAGATAAAATAAAATCCATATGTTTCTTATGTCATCAACAAATAGAATTACCTGTAAGTTTTTCAGGATAACCATTAATGTTCTCTAGAAACGGTAAAAGGCTGAGGATAGAAGTTAACTTTGTTAGTTTAGTATTGACACTAGCGTTAATTTGCAGCGTTTAGTGCCAAAGAATCTGTGTGTTTTAAGATTGTGGTGTTATTGTTGTAATATTTTGTGTTGATAGACAACTTGGCTTACCTTCTCGCTTGTGTCTTTCGTTAAAAATGATTATTAGATTGTTTCGTTACTGAAACTCTCTACTTCTAATCCTTCACTGAAAACCAAGAGATAATTTTTAGAATAACATCATTTTTTGTTTTAATGTTGTTTTCATTTCTTAATCTTAGATGTTGTCAATAGTTCACGTTAACAATATTAAATAGTATGTTTCTTAATTTATATTTATTTCGTTTTAATTTATAATTGACAATTTTTTTTTATTTTTAAAACGAATTAACAAATATTTTTTAAAAGTCAATGTTTATCTATTGTTATTAGATGTATTATTGTATGTATTTAGATGTATTGTTTTTAATAATGATTTTATTACAATTTTATGTAGAGTTTCTGCTGTTACACCTTCTATTACTGCTTAAGTAATAGAAGGTGTAACAGCAGAAACTTGCAGGTTGCTATAAGTTATTTTCATTTAAATTTAAATATTAACTTTATTAAAGGATCTTCTGTCTGTTAAATAGGTAATTCTGAATGGTTTTAGAGAGATTTCAATGCCCTCACACAGTGATTTACTAATCAGTAAATTAAGCAAATAGTTTTAAACAAATGAATCAATTGGATTCCACGATCCTTTATGCATATTTGCGTGGAGTTTTTATAATATAACCCAGAATTTTTTCTAAAAGACTAGGTAAATAAGTAAAAACATATCAGTCTGTAAAATTAAAAAAATGGATAACTTCTACTGATGCAAAAAAATTATGGCATTTACTTTTCTAATAGTTATGTATCTCTATCAAAAATTTTAAGCCAAATAAAATAACAGTTGGAAATTATCAAATATATTTAAGGTCAGTTTGCCTGATTGGTTTAAGCAACCCCTAAGCAGTAATTTACTGACCGGTCTGTAAATTATGCTATAATTTCAAATGAAAAAATGATGTATTTTTCAGATTCCATGATTCCTTTATGCACATTTGCATATTGTAACCCTAATTAATATTCTTCATTAAATAATTATATAAGTAAAAACACTTCAGTCAGTAAAATAAACGATTCTGTATGATCCCAACAGATTCAATAAAAACTGGATCATTATTTAACATTTTAACTCAAATGTAATAACGGTTCAAAAATTCAAATATATTTAAGGTCGATATGCCCAATTGGTTTGTACATCCCTTTTTCTGTAATTGAATGACTGGCCTGTAATTTATGTAATAATTTTAATGACAAGTCTGAAAATTATGTAATAATTATGTCATGATGTATTTTTTGGATGTTCACATAATAAAATTATAATATGACCCCAAATTTTGTTCTTCAAAAACAGAAAAAAAATTTTTAAAGTAAAATTTTGGTTTTTTATTTTTTTTTGAAGTTGTTTGATTATATGAAAAATTTCAAGTCAAAAGTAATAACGATTCAAAAGTCAGTATGACCCTAAAAACATATAAATTAATAAAAACCCTTGTTCTGTAAAATATTTGATTTTGGTCAATCTTGACAAACTTTAAAAAAAAGTCTCGGAATTTTATTTTCTTATAGTTGGTGGGTCAATATGGAAAATTTCAAGTCTAATGTGTTATCGGTTTAAAAATTATTCAAATGTCAATAACACTCTCATTCTTGATACCATTTTGCAGCAAATTTTCCATACTTAAGCTCTATACCTTTTATCAAAAAATTACCCATTTTTTTACTACAAAAAGTTCAATAACTTTTGATCCGCTTAACTTCAAAGGCCGAATAACTAATGTATAAAATTCTGCTATATATTAAGTTTATTTCCCAACGTTATGATATCACTACGATATCATAATGATATCATTATTTGATATTATAGCTTGAGAAAGTCTTGATATCATTCTGATATCAAATTAATTTCGCGTCTTGACTTCGTATACTCATTGTTTTCTTTTTTTAGTTAAAAAAAAAAAATTCTATTATAAACTATTTTAAAAAAACTTGGACTGTTTCGGTGTACGTTGCTCTTTATCAAAGGGATAAATATTTGTACCAGTCTGAATAATATTTAGAGCACCTGCTTGAAGAGAGTTAATTGATTACCATCGATATAAAAAGTTTCATTAAGCATGAAATAACTTTTCATTAAGCATGAAATATATATATATATATATATATATATATATATATATATATATATATATATATATATATATATATATATATATATATATATATATATATATATATATATATATATATATATATATATATATATATATATATATACATATATATATATATATATATAAAAGTGTTTTCAAAAAATCATACAAATTTACAGCTTTTTCTAAACAGTATGTCCAGTTTTAGTGTTTTGAAAGTAATTGCAGCAATTGCTTAATTAAGTGTTTAACTTGAATATCTAAAAACACATTACTTATTTAATTATTAATTGATTTCAATACATTATTGTACCTGACTCTAGTCCTAACCAAAGCGAAAAAACGAATGAGGTTGGCAGTTTTTGCTGACCTCGATTTTATTTTTTATAGTAAGACCTTTGTAAAAATGGCTTTTTGTTTGCCAATTGTAATCTGAGGTCAACCTAAAACAGTTTAAGGTCCACAATTTATTACTCAGTTTAGTTTTACTAGTTTTAAGGGTTGTGTATGCATGCATACTTTCCTGTACTAGGGTGGCAGTGGACGAGGAATTGCCAACTTGTGTATTCCATAATGCAAAAGTGTATCAATGTCTTCATTTTTGCTGAGTTAACTGTGACAGAGGACTTTAAGACATGAACTATGTCGCCAACAATCTGAATTAAATAATAATGATAATAAAAAAATACAACTTTAAAAAGCAGAGAAAACTTATAGAATAACCCATTTAAGGACATGGCAGTTTTGAAAATTCTTTCTCACTTAAAAAATGGTTTGTGATTTTGAAACACTATTAAATTTTATCCAATAAATATATGAAATCACAAAAGGAAAAGAAAAGATCTTACCAATAGCACATTAGGTAAATATTGATATTTCTCTAAAAATGCTGCAACTCTATTAACTCTCTCAACTTAAAATTTATTTAACCATGTTAATAAGTTAAAATTCTATACTTACATCAATTAAAATGCACCAGAACTTTGTTCTGGTGCATTTTAATTCAGTTTTCTTTACTTACTTAACTTTGCATATGTTTGGAAACTTGCAATTCCTTAAAAAAACACACACATATATGTCATATATGTATATGTATGCAACATACTCATGGATATTTAAAAATATTATTACTAATAACCTTAAATAAAAACCAATTGTATAATAATAGCAATAACAATATTAAAACAATTATAACGAGGTAAGCAATGTTAACAATTCTATTTATATTAATATAATAATAAAAATAAAAATAGTAATAATAATATTGATAAATATTAAATTTAATATTAAACAATAACAATAAGTAATAAAGATATGAGTAGAAGTAAATAATGTTGATATTTATATTACATATAATCATACCAAAAGCAATAATGATAACCCACAATGAGCCCAACATTTTACGAACAGTAATTACATATCACCAAAATAAAAAGACATAAAGATGAGTTTTAGCAGTAAAGTTTAGTGACATAAAGTGAATATAAAAAGTAAATTATTCCATGAATAAAAAATGATAAATTATTTCAAGATTTTATGCATTGGTTTGTGATGTGATTTGTTATGCTGTACTTAACTGAAAAATGATTTAAAATGAATAATTTAAGGTTGCTAAATCATCGAAGACAACATTGAGATTTTTTTATAAAAGTAAAGAAATTACAGAATGAAAGAGGTAGGGTAACTTGTGTGTGATCTCAGACAAATAAACAATTTAATAGATGAACAAGAGCACAAAATTTCATACTTTTGGATAAAAACAAATGAATATTTGAACTAGAATAATATTCTTGAAAGTAATTTTTTTTTAATGCCTTCTTTTTAGATATTTATAAAAAATTATTGGTTTATAAATTAAAAGTATATATAATATATCATATTAGAGTGTTTGTTGTATTTTTGAGAAATAAAATTTATATTAAAAGAGAATTGCTTTTTACTATTGCAATTTATTTGACTATTAAACCAGCAATATTTTTAAAATATATTGCTGGTTTAATACAATTTATTGATATTATTTCATTTATGAAAAAATTGGGTGCTAGGTTTGAATACTACAAACAACCTTTGGTCCAAATACTTCATTCATCATAAATTTAATAAGTAAGTTGCAGCATTAATTTTTACAAAACCAAAATTAAAAAAAAGTTACTCTATAAAAAAGATTATGTAGCTAAGATCCGCAGCCATCTGAAATTTTTTATAAACTTTTCAAACATGCGCTCATCAACATAAGGGAGGAAGGGGTAGGGGAGGGGTAGGCGGAAGGGACAGAGTCTTTAGCCACACAAAAGCTCCTTGATCCGTCGCTCGGCAGTTTATTCATTTTTGTTAAATTTATTTATTATAAAGAAGCACAACTTTGGAGCACTTCAAACCAAATTACACTTATGCATGCATGCACCATACACTAATATTATTCTGCTACTACGTCGCTCATACTAAAGACTTTCATTTATGCTTTTTAGATTTATGCAGATTCGAAGATATGAATATTGCATTTATTAAAGGCGAACTCTATAAAATTCGTGTAGTATACGACTCTTTCTGGTTTTTATTTTAGTCTTGATGGCGGTCAAATGGACTAATTGATTACATAAAATCATGAACACAAGGTCTATCAGAAGATAGAGAGGATTTTCAAAAGGGGAAATTCAGAGGCTTGAATTTTTCTAAATTCTTCAACTTTTTTTTAGGTATACCTGCAAATATCTGTTGATATATGTATTTATATATATATATATATATATATATATATATATATATATATATATATATATATATATATATATATATATATATATATATATATATATATATATATACATATATATATATATATATATATATATATATATATATATATATATATATATATATATATATATATATATATGTATATATATATATATATATATATATATATATATATATATATATATGTACATATATATGTATGTATATATATATATATATATATATATATATATATATATATATATATATATATATATATATATAAATATATATGTATATATATCTATAAATAAATAAATAAATAAATATATATATATATATATATATATATATATATATATATATATATATATATATATATATATATATATATATATATATATATATATATATATATATATATATATATATATATATATATATACAAACATTGTTTGTATATAGTATGTATACATATATAAATATATATACATATCATATACGAACAAAATGTTACAATATTATAAAGTTAGGAACAGTTTATATTGAAATATCTTTAAATAAAAATGAAAATCTAAAATAAGAATCAAGTTCTTAAAATAAGAATCAAGTTCTTAAAATAAGAATCAAGTTCTTATAATAAGAATCAAGTTATTATAATAAGAATCAAGTTCTTATAATAAGAATCGTGTTCTTAAAATAAGAATCAAGTTCTTAAAATAAGAATCAAGTTCTTATAATAAGAATCAAGTTATTATAATAAGAATCAAGTTCTTATAATAAGAATCGTGTTCTTAAAATAAGAATCAAGTTCTTAAAATAAGAATTAAGTTCTTAAAATAAGAATCAAGTTTTTAAAATAAGAACAAAAGCTCTCAAAATAAGAACAAAAGTTCTTAATCTAGAATCTCGGATTTTGCTGTGCGTATAAAAAATTTGAAAGTTTAAGTTAATAAGAACGACATTATCATCAATATTTGATTTTTATAGCCTGAGCAATCCCATAATGCATAACAAAAATGTTTTCAAAAAGCTACGAAACAATCGTTTTTAAGTTATTTTTATTTTAAATTAAGTTAAATTAAATAGAATCAGTTTTCTGACCTTAAAAAATTTTTTTGGAATATCTATGCTTAAGCATACTAGAATAAGATTTATATGAACTACAAATCCCTTTTATTTTGTTAACTTATTAAAATTAATAATCAAACTTCTTCCATGGGTACTCCAATTAAAAATAAATGCTTTATAATAAAAAACTTTAAAAAGTTTTTAATGCATTTTTATGTTTACTTTTCTTTAAAATTAACATGTACTTTTTTCTTTTTTTAGTTTTTTAATGTAATCCTCGTGTCATAATTTCTGATCTCAAAAGACTGTACGGCTGTAAATTTAATTTTCAAAGAACAGAACTTTTGTTATTATACTTTTAAATTATCGCACTTCTTCGAGAAATGGTTAATTTATTACTTTTCATTGAGCATTCATTGCTCGTTTACAGATTCAGCAAACAGTAAAAAATTTTCGTATAGTTGTCTTGAAAACACTGTGGAAAAAAAGTTGTTAAAGTATCCAGTTTCAGTCACTTTACCATAAAAGGTGTTGCTTTCACAGTTTTGTGTATATTTATTGTAGAGTATTAAAAATATAGTCAAGTTTTTTGCTATGGAAACTTCTAGTTATAAATGATTTTTTTGTTGGTTAATCTATTCATGAAAAAATTATGTTGACTACTTGATTCCTTGGATTGTTCGCTACATATCATTTATTGTTGCTTTTTGAAATAAATTTTTTTATAAATATTGGTGCGTTGTGCCAATTTTTTACATCCAAGTCATTAATAGTTCTGTATAGTTATTTCCCATCACCTCTTGATCTCTATATTTTAATGTTAAAAGAAAGTTTTATCAATGAGTTTTTACATGATAAATCTTTTAAACACAAATGGCTCTATGTTGGAATTGTTTAATCATAAGAACATGTTTCTATATATGTAGACTCCTTAACGGGTTTCAATATTCAAGGTGAGGTCTAAGTAATGATGTACTATTAATGTTATATTTCTTTCATCTAAATATTTCAAGAAGTGTTTGATTTGCCCTTATTACAAACTTCAAAAGTCTTTTTTTCTCTTTAATTTCATTTTTAAAACGCATTCATTAAAAATTATAAAGAATTGCCAATAATGATGCTATTAAGCCGATTTTTGTGTCAAAGCATGTAGCATATATTTCTATATAAATTGTTTAATTATGTATGCTGCAAACTTTCTGCAACTGTGATTATAAAACTCTATTCCATAGGTTTGATGCCTTTTCTTATTTTGTTATTTTATATAAAAAAACTTTAGAGAAAATAATTTCAATTGTTATATTTAATAATATTGATGTTTTATTTTTAGAGTTTGTTTGTGATGATTAATGTGCCACCACATAAATCTTGTAAATATTAATAAGCTATGGCAATAAACGTAATGTTGAAACAAAAATGCTTAATCTTAAGTTGAATGATTCATCTAAATTTGGTAAGGTTACACTTAATCAAATAAATAAAATAAAGTGTTTAAGTGAAGGAAACGTTTTTTTACCTTATTTTTACTATTACTAATAACTAAATTTACTGTTTTTTTTTTTAATTGTTTTTGTGTATGAAAATATTTAGAAAGATTCAGATGCAATACAATTTTTTTCATTTGTTTATACAAAAATATGTTTTTACAATAAAAGAATAAATAAAACACATACAATATAAATTACAAACTTTGTTAACGTTACAATAAGAACGCAGATATTCTCAGGTTCTCGATGAATTCTTTATTACAATAAGAAAGTAGATACTCGCAGATTCTCGCAGATTATCTTAATGACAAGAACGTATGATCTTGTCACCGAGAACTGGCTAAACAGATATTAAATAAAGAAATTTTTAAGATGCTTTAAATTGTAATTATAATGCGACAACATTTTAAAATCATCTATTTATAATAAACTGATGAATTTATTTGTCATAGCGTGTTATATACTTTATTTAGAATCTGCTGTGAAGTAAATTAAGTATTCAATCATAAAATATCAAATCTGAAGACATGAATTTTTTAATGGAGTTTTGATCCATAATAATCCAAGTACCGCATGTTTTAAATATATTTGTATGTATCCTGCATTTGGTTTTAATTGTAAATTTTGATTGTGATATTCACTACATTTTAGTTCACAAAGTTATAAAAAGACCATTAACTCAAGTCTTTGTAACTGTGGTTCGTTGTTAATGGATTGAACCTTTTTGTCAAGTAAAAAAGTAATTGTTATTGTAACATGATAATCATGTTGTTTATAAGTTGTGACCATTTTGTATATATGTTGTTACTTTGTTGTATAAGTATTTATTTATTTAATTATTAAGTTGCGCTTATGTTTGTTTTTATTTTATTAAAGTTAAAAAGGATGCAAGCACTAAAGAAGAAAATAACGTTACAAATTGAAGCAGAATTTTATAACAAATCATGACAGCGATTGGATATGAATTCCAGATAAGCGTCATTGTCGCATGGTTGTGATCAAATCATTGTACAATAGCTGTTCTTATGCCGCGTAATTATATTTTGAAATTCAAGCCTGTTTTTCAATTTATTCATAAAACTTGAAAATATCAATTATCATGTGTCTAATACTTTTTATTATCCTTAAACTAATGAAAAATACGCCAATTTTTAACCTACAAATTGCAGTCTCTTTTATCTACAGTCAATTTTTAACCTACAAACTGAAAGTCTCTTTACAGTCGATTTTGCTAAAAACAACTTAAATAATTAAGAAGATGGGGTCTGAAAGAAAAGTATAGCGACTTCAATTATGATTGCTCAATAAAAACTCATAACAATCCCATGCGCAACCCAGTTAATTAACAAAGACAAAATCACGATGGTACTGTATAGAAATGGCCGATCTTAGTTCTGCCAGTTCTTGTTCTGCACTGGCTAGCCGCTGTTTTCCCCTTGCTGGCTAGCTACGGCTGGTCCATGAAAAATCCTTAGAGCAAAACGGAGCCACGCCAGCGTCGGCAGCCAAAGCTGCTCCAGCGCGTCAGCCTACACAGGACCAATGCGGGACTATTATATACTTACTGTCTGCGATAAAATGTTGAAAGTTATGAACATGAACATTTTCCCAACCCCTTTAGTAAGTTATAAACTTTAAGTAGTTTTAAGCTTTACGGCTTTTTTAATTATTTATCCTTCTACAAGTAATTAAAAAATTATATTACTTTTACTGGATCTAAATTTTTTGGAAAGTTGTATAAATAGCAAAAAATGATTTCGTAAACCCCATTAAAACATAACAATTAAATTTGGCAAAAACATATAATTTTCAAAATCAAAATCTAATATATTGGCAACAAACCAAAAAAAAAATTTGGTTCATTTTCAACAGCTGCATGGATTTTAATTTAAAATAGCTAAAACTGCAGCTTCTAAACGGAGAAAAGTTTATAGAAAAACATTTGAACAAATAGCTGTATAAATGTTAAATTAATAACAAAATTCAATAAAAAATCGTTCACAATAATTAATATAATTAAATTTTTTAGTTCTAATGTAAGACTGAAACTAAATTTGTTAACTTAAATTTATTTTCTTTAGTTAACTTTAAACATTGTTATGTATCTTGTAGGGAACTTTGTTTTCAAACATTGGTATGGAATTTGTAGACATTATTATGGCGGAATTGGTTCTATTTTTTTTACAACAGCAACAGTAACAGCACAAAGCAAACAAGCAAAGTAGTAGTACCAGTCCACTAATTCCACCATATTTTAAGTAACCATTTGCAGAATTCCAAAATTTTAAGAAACCTATTAAAATACAGAAAAATAATATAAACAACTGCATCAACAGTCCTAATAATACGAAAAATATAAACAATGCTTACAAAAATTATATTAATAAAATCAAAAATAAGTGCCCGTTAAACACCCAACTACAGCTATACATAAACTATATGATAATGATGCAGCGTGAGCTAGTTAGTAGAATAGCGAGGACTGCGTTTGTTTGCTTGCAATATGAATTAAGTAAATTATATTTGCTTTGCAAATCCATATAAACCTTGGTCGTAGAGTGTTTGATTTATTGTTTAAAATTTAACACTAATTAATTACATGGGAAAGGTTTGTTCTATCACTTTGCGCCAATTTTAAGCAGTTGCTAATATACACTTTTGTAAATTTAGCTCAAATGGGATTAAAGTCCGTTAGGTTCTATGCAAAGGTTTGTATTTATACATTTTTGCAAAAAATAATTTCTTAACGACGTCTAAAGAATTATAAAGTGGTAAAAATACTGAATTCCTATTTATATACAAAATAAACTTTTATTATATTACTTATGTGATAATCTGAAAGTTTTTTAGAATTTTTTAAAAAATTATTTAAATCAGTTTAATTTTTAAAATATATAATATAAAAATAATTATTTTATAAATATGAAATAAAAATATACAATTTTAAAAAGGTTTAAGTTTGATAAAAAGGAAGTAAAAAAAAAGAGAAGAAAAACTGACCAATGGCTAGCAAGTAACATTTGTAAGAGTTAAAAAACTCAACCTTGACGATTGCTAGCTAAATATACAACCAACAACTTCTTATAATAAAAAATTTGACTTAGCAATAAAAGTCGCTAGATACATATTTTTTTTTTTTTTTAATTTTATTTAACCATATCAATAAAATTTACTAATTTTATCGTAAATTAATATAAGTTGGTTAGGTGTCACTCATATAGTTACAAACTAGTCAATGGAGTGACACCTAAAGAGCATAAAAATTTCACGAAAAGATAAATAAATAAAAAAAAAAAAAAGAAACAAAAGCATACAAAAAAAAAAAAAAAAAAAAAAAAAAAAAAAAAAAAAGGAAAAACTCAACATCTGTATATATAAATAAGAGAGAAAAGAAGAAAAGACTGTTAAGCAAATAATAACGATATATGTAATAATAATAACAATAATACAAAATAATAACAATAATAATAAAGTACCAATAATATTAAGAATATTATAATACAATATAAATTGTATGTACAAGTCATAGATGATAATTAGATATAATAATAACATAAAATGTAACATTAATAACACAATAATAAATAAATATAAGATAGGTAAATAATAAATAAAGTAAAAATTAAACCACTTGTTCGTTAAAGAGACTATATATTGAAGACAACTACAGTACAGAGCGAAATTATAAAGAAATACACTCCAACAGTATATTTTTAAATTGAATTCTGTTGAGCAGTAAAAAATTCGTAACAAGTGGATATTTTTTCTAAGACTTTTTTTATTAATGTAGGAATACACTGGTTCCATTGAGAAATACATTGTTGTTTTGTGGAAAACTTACCATATTTGATTGTGTTGAAAAAAGAATAGTATAGCTTACTATTTTCTGTATTCCTAGTGTGATGATTATGAACTTCGTTTGTTTAAATAAAAAAATTTGAAAAAGGGCTTGGTAGTTTATTTTGGAGAATGTCAAAGACAAAAAGACAATTGTAAAACTTTACAAGATTATGGAGTTTTAGGATTTTTAGTTCAGAATTTTTTTTTTCGATATCAGATCTGATTGGAAAAAACGTCATTATTCTAATAGATGTGCGTTGTAAACTAGTAATGTTATTAAGTAAAAAGTTTCTTTTTTGACCCCAAACAATACAACAATAGCAAAGGTGAGAAAAGAATAAAGAAAAATAAATCATTTGAAGAGTTTGGATAGGAACATAGTAACGAATTAGAGAAAGCATACTGTTACCTCGTGTAAGTTTTTTTTTTAGACGATACAGTTGATTATACCAAGATAGGTTTTCATCAAGATATATTCCAAGATACTTTATATATTTTATATAAGTTTTTTATATAAGTTTTTTACCGTTAATTTTAATGTATTCAATTTTATTGACATTCAAGGAAAAACGGTTACTATTTAACCAGTTACATAAGCGATGAAGATCTTGATTAACTTTTTTACAAAGAGTCGGGAGGGATTTGTTGATATATAAAAGATTGGAATCATCAGCATAATGATGTATCATAGAATTTTTTAATGAACAAGATAAATCATTTATATATAATAAGAACAACAACGGTCCAAGAACGGAACCTTGTGGAACGCCATATTTAATAACTTTATAGGTGGATTCAAATCCATTAATTGAAACAAGCTGAGTGCGATCCCTAATATATGAAGAAAACCAATGATTAGCAATACCACGTATTCCGTAGTAGTTTAACTTTTTTTATTAGAGTGTTGTGATCAACCGTATCAAAATCTTTTTGAAGATCTATGAATACACCACAAGCAAAAGAACCACTGTCAATTGCACCACGAATCATTTCAGTAATGCTAATAAGAGCGTGAGAAGTGGAGTGGTTTGAGCGAAACCCAAATTGTCGAATATGAAAACAAGCAGAATTATTCAAACAGTTGTAAATACGGGAATACATTTTTTCTAAAAGTTTGCTGACATTTGATAATAATGAAATTGGTCTGTAGTTATTACATTTAAGTTTTGAGTCTTTTTTATGAACTGGGATAACAGAAGCAGTTTTTTAAATATCAGGGAATACACCGGTTGTGAATGACAGATTAAATAGTTCAGAAAGTACAAGAGAGATATCATTCGCAAGAGCTTTAAAAATAGGTATTGGAATGCTGTTAGGTCCCGAAGCCTTGCGGTCATTAAGAGAATGAATAATCGATAATACTTTGTTTTTGTCTGTAGGTTTTATGAATATTGAATTAAGATTAGGATTTTTAAGACATTTATTAAAGTCAGTATTGGATGAGTGGATCTTATTCTGTAAATCTTCCGGAACTGAAACAAAGAATGATTTAAAAGATTCCGAAATTTTAATGGGTTCATATATCATGGAGTTGGTAGAAGATAAGCATGAAGGAGATAAGTTAACTTTCGAACTAATGTTTAAAAGGTTCTTAATACCATCCCATGTAGATTTTAAATTTTTGGCATTGTCAGAGAAGAACTTAGAGTAATGGTTCTTTTTACTACGACGGGTGAGAGTAACAAGTAAGTTTCTATATGTTTTATAAGATTTTTCTAGATTGAGTTTGTTATTAGGATTCTTTGCTATAAAAAATTTGTTAAATATTTTATTTTGCATTTTAATATGTCAAGATTCCTCGTGTTATCCAAGGTTTGAGACCCCTTGATAAGCAGCGATTGCTGACTTTTTTTAATGGTGCATGTTTATCTAAAAGAGAATTGAAACTTGAGAAAAACTCTTCAAATGACTTATTAGTCTTACTTTCGTTCACATTGATTTAATTAGTCCAGCTAATTTTTGAGAAATCACTACATAATTCGACGCAGTTTATTTGTTTTAAATTTCGACGAAAAATGCAGCTTTTACGAGTATTAATTTTGGTTCTATAAAATGGATGTATTAAAAATTGGGGCAAATGATCTGATACCGTAGAAGTAAAATTACCGGCAAAAATATATGTAGAAGTTGCATAAGAAAATATGCAATCAATTAGAGTTTTGGAGTGATTTGTGATTCTTTTTGGCAATGAGATAAAGGGAAGGAAGTTATTTAAAGCAATAGTGTCTAAAAATTCAGAGACAGAATTATCTGAGTTTGCTAATAAAAAATCGACATTAGAATCGCCTATTAAAAAAGTAGTTTTCGTTTTTTCCATAGATAGTTTTTCAAAAGGTGGAATTAAATATGATTTAATAAATTCTGAAATATCCATACTAGGGTGGTGATAAATACAGCCAATAATGATGTTTGATTTTTTAGGAACTATTATTTCCACAAACAAAGATTCTAAAAGCTTTGGTTTAAGCATATTAAGATCATATCGAAGTTTGTAAATTAATGTATTCGATATATAAAGTAAAGCACTTCCAAAATAAGATTTTTTCGGAGTGTGCTCATAAACATAACCGGTAAGGTTTAATGGGATAGTTGGTAGAATGTCATTTTTTAGTTTAGTTTCAGTTACGCCAATAATACTGAATTTATGATTATTAAGAGATAAAAGTGAGTTTAATTCGTCAAAATTTTTAACAAGGGAAGCAATATTTAAATGAAAAAGAGAAAAATTATTTTCGTCGATGTTAGAAAAGTTAAAACTTTCTGTCCATATATTTACAATTAATCGGGTTTTCTTTGAGGTTTACGCAATTGTCATTGTTGTTATTAAGTTGATAGGAAATAAAATCATTAAGTTCATTGTAAAGATTAGCCTGTATGGAGTTTGGAAAAGATGATATGTTGTTTGAATTTTTTGCAGGTGCAGCTCTTTATCTGATAAAATACTGAATAGAAAAAATTTTTCCCTACATGAAATACAGAACCAAGATGTTTTAGAGTTTTTCAATATTCTAAATTTAATAACATTCAGACGACAACATTTTTTATGAAAAAAGGTTTAGGCAATGATTACATTGAAGGTAGTGATGGTTTGTATTAATTTTCTTGAAGCAATCTTTGCAGTGAATAGACATTTAAGTGGTACAGTTTATAAAATGAAATGATTGAATGAACTGAAATAAGGAAACAAAGAGTAATATGAACAGTAATATAACCAAAAATAATAAAAATAATAATAGTATTTATTAACAATATAAATATAATTCAATTGATAAAATAGTAAAACAAAAATAATATTTATTTAACAGTTAAAGTAAATAATGAAAAAATACTATTAATAAAGTAAAATAAGAATAACGTACATATATATTAAAAAAAAGTTAATTGGTTAAATGATAAGTTGTAAGTATAAAATAAAACAGTTTATATTAAAATAATAATAAATTATAAATGGTTATAAGTAAAATATTATAGTTATAATAAGGGAAAAATAAATTATTAAGTTTGTACTAAGTATTATAAGTTAATAAGTAAAACTCTAGTAACTAAGCTAACAAACTATATAGATTTATAAAAATAACAATAATAATAATAATAATAATAATACTTGTAGCAATAATAATTATTATAACAACAATAATAAAAACAGTAATAATTATATATAATAAAAATCTTCTGGCGCTACTTATACTTTTTCTTCTTTGTTTTTTCTTTTTTCTTAGTTTACTTAATTCTTCTTCTTCTTTTTTTTTTCTTAACTTTTTAGTTTTTATTTTACTTGTTTACTTCCTTTTCGTTCTTTTTTTTTGTTTTTATTTATTTATTTATTTTTTAAGTTTATAAAATGTTCCTTTTTTTTTTTAATTCGAAGTTCTTTTTCTTTTTTTTACTTTTTTTTCCCTTCCTTGCTTTTGTATGACTTTTCAAGTGTGTTTGTTTTAAGACGATCTTAAGACCGCTAACAAATTATTTATGCATATAAAACAAAAAATTATTTACTTGTTATTATAATTTGCTTTTATCTTTAATTTTTATATTTATTTTTTCTTTTCTTTTCTTTTTCTCTTTTACCGTTAAAAAAACGTGACCGCCATTTGCGAAGACTTAACTCTCTATTGTTGCTGCAAAGTAAAAAAATGTATATAAAAAAGGTTCAAACAACAGTATTCTTGAAAATGTTTGATAACATTTATTGAAACTAATTTATATTGCTAAAAATTTGAGACTTAAGATTAGCAAAGCCATACTTATGTAAACTGACGTCTTAAATGTTGATTTATATTTAATTAACCAATGTCAATTTTAAACTAATAGGCTGTCCATTAAATATGTTAGCAAGTGTTTTCCACCTCCACCCACCGTCTCCTTGCCAACAACTTATTAAATTTTCAAAAAAAAATGATTTCTATACAAGAAGAAATAAAAAAAAATAAAAAAATGGCAAGGAGTTTTATTTAAATAGTAAATCGCAAGGTAAAAAGTTAAAAGTAAATCACGTTATTGGGAAATATGTTCCAAGAATCATTATCTATGATAAAACCAAAGGTGATTTTGTAGCCAAAATCATGACCCCCAAGGTAAACAAGCGTCTGAAAACCATGGTTGACCATATTAACTGGGTTTCGATGAGACAAGCCGATCAAAATATTTGGATGTAGTCATTCACATATAACTAAACATTTTTCTAAGTATACTGACATCACACTTGTAGAAAACTGCGTATATCTGAGTGCAATATTTCAGGAAAATTGTCCATCCGTGACGACAAATCTTACTTCAAGTTGTCACACTCAACGAATAATATAAAAAGCACCTACTGATCTAGTGACCAAGAAAAGACTTTGTTGTTAGATATTGTAAAAAGCGTAAGTTTGCACCCGAGCTGCATTTCTGGCTGGCGACTTTTGACAATTGTATTTCCAGGTGATTTTTCATTTCCAGCGGATTTGCAATCAAAAAGTCATTTACTAAATAAAATTGCCATAGGGAAAGAATAGCATCAATGATCAACGTTCATCGTGCCAATTGTAGTTATGTATTTTGGCCGAACGCATTGCGTCAAAACCATGACCGACTGCTATGAGGCCCATAACATTAATTTTATCAAAAAAATTGACAATCTACCAACCGTATTTGAGAAACGCTTAATCATATACTTTTCGGCTACTTTGAAAGGAAAAGTGTGTGAGGGTATCTGAAAAGCAAAAAACGTCATGCAACTACAAACAAAAAAAACGCTTAGTCTGAAAAAAATTGATCTTAAACTTTTGTTTCTTCTTTTGGGTCGAATTGTTTTTGAGTCGAGCAAACACGATAAAACAGACCGTTTGAAGACAAACTTAATTAAAATAAATACCTAAAAAATAGTTAATCATATTTTTTATTTAATCTCAACCTTAAAAACTATGGGAGTTATTCCCCTTAAAAGTCCGAGTTATTGTAACTACCTGTTGTTTGATATTTTTTTATATAAATTTTATAACTAATAGTTTTACAAATAATATTTAAGTTTTACATTTAACTATTAATCTTACTGTTACAATCTGAGTTGCTGATAGTCTCCTCAAGTAACGGTATCTCTAGTTGTGTGGATCCAAGAACTTTAAGTAACAGAAGTACCTAAAAGTTTATTTAAAAGTAAAATAACTTAACGTTCGCAAATATAAATATAAGATGTTATTACTCAATAATAAAAAAAGACACCTCATAAAACTTAAGTAAAGTTATATATGTATATATATATATATATATATATATATATATATATATATATATATATATATATATATATATATATATATATAAATATATATGTAAATATATATATATATATATATATATATACATATATATATATATATATATATATATATATATATATATATATATATATATATATATATATATATATATATATATATATATATATATATATATATATATATATATATATATATATATATATATATATATATATATATATATATATATATACATACATATATACATCCTTCCATCTATACATATATAGATAGATAGATACATACATACATACATACATACATACATACATACATACATACATACATAAATACATACATGCATACATATGTATATGGTAAACGATCTACTTAATGGCCGTAGTTTTATTAATTTCATTAAAAATAAAATTTCGACTATGAGATTTAAAAAAGGGCGACTCCTTTAAAAGTACTAACTGATTTCTTAAACCCAAAAAAAAATTAATGTCCTTAAAACTAAAAATAACTCTACACAAATCTGTCAAATGCCCAACTAGTTAACTATATTTTTCAAGAAACTGAAAAAAAAAAACTTGAAAATTGCCTTTCACCAAAAATCCCCACACCATCTCTTACGTATAAGTGCCTCTATCAGTGAATAGACTTTATCCATATGAAGTTTGAAATAGTAAAGTATATTTATTTTTCATTTTATCGTTTCCATATTTTTTTTAACAGGAATGTATTTCGAAATGGACTAAAGCAAGTACTTTTTAAAGTAGTTTTTTTTTTGAATAGCAGAAAAAAAAAAAAGTTTTAGTTTTAGTATTTTACCATTGCCACTTATAACTTAAAAACTTCCAAGGTCCGATGTTAAAGCTATTAATTCATTCCTAATTTTATGACCATAAATAATTGATTTAATAAACTATCCAGCCACTACAAAGCAGATTATTTGAACTTATTTTTCGATCTACACCTTTTCAAGATTTAATTGAGAAGATAAAAGTTGTATTTAAAAAATCGCAATATGTAATTGGAAAACACAACATCTGATTTAAATATCATAATATTTTATTAAGAATGTCATAATATGTTATTAAGATGTTGTAATATTTTATTAAGAAACACAGTGTGTAATTAAGAAATCGTAAAACGTAATAATTACTTTTTACGGTTTTATTTTTAATTTATTATCAAATCAAACAGTGTATGCACCAAAAATAGTCTTTTGGAACATAAATTTGAAAAAATTAATAATTTCAAATCGCGCAATTGTATTCACCAGCATTAATTATGGAATTGAAAGACCGTTGTTTTGTTTATCAATAAACTATGACCTACAAGTCCGTTATTAAATTGAACCTATGATGCACAATATGAACAAATTTTGTTCATATTGTGCATATTTTACATTATTTATCATATCATGCAGAGAGATTTGGTTTCTTTGGTTTCTTGACAATGTTTCAGGATTTACTTTTGAGAATAATTTGAGATCTTGACATTAAAAGGTAAGATAACCAAATGATCCTAAAAGTATAGTTATTTGAAGTCTTCGAATAATTTTTTTGTCATATAACATCTTTAAAATAGTCTTCTTTTATAAGCATTAAGCATTCAAAATAATTTTCAATTATATTTCAAAGCATTCAAAATAATTTCAATTCAAAGCATTCAAAATAATTTTCAATTATAGTTAAATTCTTTTGCTACTATTTTAAACATAGTTAAAGTTTTTCGATAATCATGGTTAAAGATTTAACAATCGTCAATCATGTTTAATGTTTTAACGTTTAAATTGAAAAAAGAAATAATTTTATTAAAACTAGTTCAAATTTTGAAACAATGTAAAATATGATAAAAGATCATATTAGTAAAATACAATGTTGATTATTAAAAATACATGCCATTCTTGATTTTTTCACATTTAATACCTTCGTTTAATCCTATAATTTTGCTTCCAAACTATACAAAGCAGATATATCAGAAATATAATTTTAGCTTGTTTGGCTGCAATATATGTATGTGTGTATCTAGGTATACATGTATGTATGCATGCAAATGTATATATAGCTTTTTTAATTTCAACGCAAGCTTTACTCTAATATTTATATAACAATGGATTCGATGAAATTAAATAAATATGTTTTTAAATGTTTCTACTGGAAGACAGCTGGAAAACACATTCAGGATTTCTTTTGTAGAAATATTGTAGTTTTAAAACTTATTACTTGGTTTGAAGTTTTTAATTTTTAAAGATTGCAAGACATATTATTTACTTAATGTATTATATAACTTTTTTATATCATTAAAGCAGTGGCAGATCCAGAATATCAAGTAAGGGAGGGCGATTTTTCAGTAACCTAAAAAATCTTTTTTATATAATTTTCGTTTATATATTACTCTTTTTCTGCAATATTTTTATACCTATACTTATATATATTACCCTCTAATTTTTAAATTTAATCATGAAATCTAAATAAACTACTTTAACCAGTGTATTTATGAAATGGTGACATAAATTGGTATCCCAGTAGTCCGCTTTAAAATTTGAGTGGCACAACTTAACTAAATCTTTTTTTAATAGTACGTTGAAAGTTTAAAATCGAATAGGAATTTATAGGAGGTTCTAAATTGTAATTCCTTTTTATTTAATTACTTATCATATTTTTTATGTATTTTATATTTTTATTTATGTTTTTTATATAATATATATCATAGATATTTATAAATAAAACATTACAACGCATTTTCCTTTTATTATTTTACTTTTCATTTAGTTTTTTAATATTGAAGCAATTTAATATTTTATTATTATTATGATATTAGCAATATTCGTTTCAAATATGTTCAAAGTGACATATTAAACCGAAAGTTAGGGGAAGCCGAAATGTAGAAACATTTATTACGCTTTTTTAGTTTCGCTACAGACTATTTTTTTAAATGTTTTTTAGTTTTTTTTTGTCTTGCTCTCTAAAATTCTTTAAATAATTATCTTTACATATTTCTCAGTTACTCTTATTGTTTTTTTATAATTTTGAAAAAATAATTTACCTTATACAAATCTGTTTAACTAATGTAGTAGTTATCTATACACCTCGAAGTAAGATTTCGGTTTTTTGGGTCATGAAAAGGGTTTATATATGACGCGAGTCATAAGTCTGTTTATATATGACGACTGACTCGCCTGACGGGTCATCAACATTTTCAAATTTAAAAACCTTTTATACGGTATTTAGACTTTTTCTCTTAGTAGTAATGCAGAAAGTAATGAAGATCCATATTGTAATGTAGTTAGTGACTCTGGGAGCATTATATTTTCTTTATAGAAAACGATAAAAAAGATATTCTAGATTTTGTTCAAGAGCTCTTATTTGACCAATTTTGACAAGTACTTTATATTTTGTAGTCATTTAGTTAATCATGGTCAAAATTGGATATTTCATATTCAGACATAAAGCTGATTTTTGTTCAATTGGAAAGGGTCAAATTAATTTGTAAAAAAAAAAATCACTTTTAAAATCAGAAGTTATAATTAATTTTGTGATATTAGTTCAATATAAGTTTACAATGAAAAAATTTTCTTTTTTTTCTTCTTGTAACAATAAAGCCTATTGTCGAAACAATTATAATTTTAGGAAGGCAAAATAATCCTTTGAGAGGCCACAGTTATGATGGCAACTTATTAGAGATAGACGATGGCAATTCTGATGCGGTGACAAATATAGGTAAATTTTGAGAACTTCTACTTTTAAAGTAAACCGTGGCGATTTAAATTGAGAAAATCATTTAAATGCAGCTAAAGCTTCTGCAACATGCATAAGAAAAACTACCCAAAATGCTTTAACTGAAGGTTGTGAAGAAGAAATGTGTGAACAAATTGTGAGTCGTGTTAGAAAATCAAATTATTATGTTATTATGTATGACGAAACAACTGATGCATCACATCAGTCACAAATGACAACAATAATATGCTTTTTGATACCTGTTGAATCAGTTCGAGAAAACTTTGTTGAACTTGTTGATTTGCACGATCAAAATCATCAAACTAAAAGTAATACATTCATTTACAATGAGCTTATTCTTGACGGCAAAGTTATTGGTCAATCGGTTATATACATGTTAGAAAAAAAGTTACACCTTTCTTTCAAAAAAATTGTCGGTGTGAAAAGAGATGGTTGTAGTGTCATGTCATCATTGCAAAATAGAGCGGTATTTGAAATTCAACAAGTTGCGTCAAATGCTGTTTGGTATCCATATTATAATCATGCTTAAAATTTAACTTTATCCAAGTGTTCGATTGTACAAGCAATAATAAATCATTTGGATGTTATTAGGAAAATTGTTGTTTTTTTCAATGCTTCTGCAAAACAAAATTTCATTATAAAATAAAAAAATGCTAAATTCTCAACTACTTTCACTTTGCAAAACACGATGTGTTAAAAAACATGATGCTTTGCTGACGTTTAGTGTTAAACCTCTACAAATAATTGATGTACTGGACGACAATATATCTAAATCTAATAACAGAACATCTTCATCAAAAGCAAGACTTTTATTATTATCAATTAGAGAAAGTAATTTTATTTCATGTTTAGGCTGTGCAGTACATGTGTTCTCCTTGACAAATCGTCTCAGTCAGTTGTTTAAAAAAAAAATTAGTTTTACACGAAGCAGAAAATTGCATCAAAGACCTGTTAATTGATTTAAAACATTAAAGAAAAAACTGCGAAGAAATGTTTAAGGAAATTTTTAGAGCCGCAGAAAAAACAATATTTGAAAATGAAGGTAAATTTACCTATAAAAAAATAGTGCAACGACAGACATGTTGTGAAAATATACCTTCAGGTACAATCGAAGAACATTACAAGCAAT